CTGCCACATTTTTCTTTCATTGTGTCAGTTCTCACCTTCTCATAACGGTGTGAAATTATCAGCCGACATGGTCATCAAAAGGAATAACACCACTGCAAAATGTACAGTAAATAATGGTCATATGTGTCTGCAGGCAGGTGTCTGCTGTTACGTTCATTATTCAGACTGCCACAGCAGTTAGACATCAATGGGCTAATCACTAGACAGCATATTAATTAATGACACATCTAATAAGCAGTCATGTTATTTGTCAAGCAAAATACTGAGCATCTGTTTTTTTTCTGTTGCTGAGATTAGACTAGTATTGGGTCATCTAATACAGTTGCAAGAAAAGTTTAAGGCGCTTTTTGCTGTTTCCTAGTTTTCTGCAAAAATTGATCATGAAATATGTTCAGTAAACACATGAAAGTTCATAACTGTGTTTTATCAGCTTAGAAATACCATGTTTGTTGATATTTGTGACTTTGATGAAGATCAGATCACATTTCATGACCAATTTATTCAGAAAACCCGGTAATTGCAAGCAGTGCCATTACATATTCTTGTGGCTGTACATGGCTCTGATTGGCTCCTCCTCTTGTCTGTCTCCCAGCACCCCTTTGTGTCTCAGCCGCTCACCAGGACTCTGGCAATAGAGTTGCTGGATAAAGCCAACAACCCCGATCACAGCACTTACAACGACTTTGATGATGATGACCCTGAACCAGAGGTAACCTTGGAGTTTCTCAGGTTTGCTTCCAGAGACAAAATTGTCATCAAGCTTGCCGCTCAAGTGATGATGTTTTGCTGGATCTTGTTGTTTTCCTTTCTTTCAAATGATGTCCTTTTCCCCCAATTAGTTTTTCTTTCATTAAATTGCTTTGCCGTTCATTCCTTCTCTCCTCAGCCTCAGATCCTCCTTTCTCTGGCACATGGGACTCATCTTTCTGCTTTGTGTCCTTCCCCTTCTTCTATCCTCTCCCTCTTCTTTTACTTTCCGTGCCCTCTGTTCACCTGTCATTTCCTTTTTGTTTCTCTTACTCTTCTTGGCTTTTTGTTTTTTTACTCCTGCTCATCATCCTTTCTCCCTCTTTTCCTCCTTGTAGCACCTCCTCCTTTCTTTTCTTCTTCTTTCTTCCTTTTTTCTGCTGTTTTCTTGTCTCCATCCCCCACCCCCTGCCTCCTCCTTAGTTTAAGTACAGGGGTCATTTCCTACCCATAAGTCCTGGTGCTCGACGTGCACCCCGTTTTGCAGCCCAAAGGAAGGTACCGGTGTGGGCTGCGGTGTCTGCAATGATGTTCCGTCTAACACAGACCAAACTGTCATTGTTGTTTCATAGGAGGACCACAGAACTGAATGAATAGAAACTGGTGTTGTCATGGCAATGGATTGCTGCAACAGATGCATAATTAAATCAGCAGGTGCCAGTGAGCACTTGTATTTAATGTCCATGATGTTTTATTGATGTATAATTACAAATGTATCGGCATACAATCACAGTTTTAGTTTCCTGTATTAACAGGAAACTTGTCATTTAGAGCTGAAATGATTACAGAAAAGTAATTGATACTATTTTGGTAATCAAATAATAGTTTTAGTAATTTAGTTTCTTTCATTACAAAGAACACACTGCTACACAATGTTAGTATTGCAGTGTTTTGTTATTTCTACAGGCACTTGTTTCATTTCTGAGTAGTTCTAATGAATACAGCTTTATAAGTCGTACACTGACCATACACGTGCGCACACACTAAATCCACTCAGTTCCGTGACAATATGGTGGAATTGTTTGGCAGCCACATTGCCTGTACCAAAACAATCGGTAATCAACATCACTAAGGATCAGTTCAGTTCATTCCAGTTCTGTGGCAGCAGATGGACGACAAAGAAAGACTCATTAAGATGGCTTCCAAAGTGTGACATTATCATACTTCTTAGAGTAATGCATCTGTCCACATCAAGATCAAATAGTGTTGACACTGTGGTTTGTGTTTGTCCACATTAGGGTGGTATATGACTCCATCAGGGTTCATCAAACAGTTGAAGTTTGGGTTTGTTTCACCTCACTCTGGTTAAAAGATCCAAACCTTGTGTCTATCGATTTGGCAGATTGGATTCATTTTGAACAAGACATAGTCCAATATGTCAGTTATGGAAGCCAGCTTTGCCTACCTATGCCATTACAGATACTAACCCCTAGCTGTGTGTTATGCGAATGGCCTTCACTACACATACAAGAGGTGGTTTTAAACTGACAAGTCCTGGTGGGTCTGAGCTACTGTGGCTTTGATAGATACATTTTGTAAAGTCTGGGTTTGCCTTTGTCCAGCTGATTTACAAGCATGGTTTGAAGTTGCTGTGTCTTGAGTTTATGTTTGTTTAAGACAAGTAGAGTCTGAATTCTTTAGAAATACAGTATCAGTACAGCTTAATTTGTGAATGACCAGTAGTACTGTATAGATTACATTACAGTAGTCATGAAACAGTACTTGGCCTCTGTTCATCCCAAAGGAAACCAACAACTAGCATCATTACAAACAATAGATGACAAATGCACAAGGCATTGATGCGACCTGGGTTAGGGTACAGGTCAGTGGATAGCGTGTGATGCTGAGCCAGCCTTTTGCAACAGTGGTCACCTAAGATATATGTGTGAAGACTGACAGTATCCTTTACCATATATTACAGAGTGTATAGAGGATATGTTAGCTTACAGGAGCTCATGATGGCAACACCAAAAAGAAACCGTGATGTTGTTGCCAGGGAAGGTTTGCGTTGCTGTGTTTTGGTTGTCTGGTTGCAGAGTGTGGATGGCTGTTTGGCTCTGTTATCAAATCCCGCCCACAGGAAGTGGCATAGGGATTATGGGTTTGTTTTAAACCTGTTGTAATCTTCTAAAGTACCTTGTAAACTACTACATTGTGTGCAGTCTTTCAACGGCTGTTTGACTGTGTGTGTCTCTTTCTCTGCCCTGATAGTCTCCAGTCTCTGTTCCTCATCGCATTCGTTCCACCAGCAGGAGCACTAGAGAAGGAAAGACGCTGTCAGAGATTAACTGTGAGTTTGTTCATATGGACAACGTGAACAAATGCATTTCAAATTTAGCTTATTTTTAAAGATAGAAAGCCGACAGAAGTGACCCATGATGTCTGTTTATCCTGGAATCCCATGATGCTTTTTCTGTCCTCCCTTCTCTCTGTCTGTTTACTTTCTCTTTCTCAGTTGGTCAGGTGAAGTTTGATCCTCCACTGAGAAAGGAGACAGAACCCCATCATGAACCGGTGAGTTTTTAGCTGTGGCATATGTTTGCATGTGTGTGTGGTAGTGAGAGTGTAGTTGTTCCTTCACCAGTACCAGCATGGCTGATCCTCACCTACTGACAGAAAGCATGCCGACCTTACCATGTTGTCGTCAGTCTGTGCTGAACCAAACACGACGCCCAACCATGTGGTCCACTCTGGCAGATACAAAAGTGAGGTGTTTTAACTAGCCCTGGTTGATCCTGATGAAAAATGTTTAGCAGGTAGGAACAAACTCAGATTACCCCCCCAGCTATATTCAAACACGGTCTTTACAGTGGGTTACTGAAGTTTTTGTTAATGTGTTCTTTGATTTGATTTGATTTTTTTTCTTTTCAATTCCAGTAACCTTGTTGCTTTGTGTGTATGTGCATGTAAGCTTGAAATTACGGACACAGGCACCTGAAATCAGTTTTCTTTGCCGAGTGTCTGGGTTTACTGTTAGGCACAACGCGAAGAGCTGATATGCTTAGGAAGCACAGAGCAGAACCACATCTCCTTTGCAGTGAGAGGCTTCAGTTTAGGTGGCACAGGCGTCTGATCGGGATCCCTCCTGGATGCCCCCCCCCAGGTAAGGTTTTCTGGGTATGTCCTAAAAGGAAGAGACTTTGGTACAGATTCAGATCATGCAGGACGGATGATATGTCCCGCGTTGCCTGGGATGCCTCAGGATCCCCCTGTAAGTGCAGGATGTGGCTGAACAGAACAACATCCGAGCTATGTCACTGCTTCCACAACCCAGACCTGGATAAGCAGCAGAAGGTGGATATATGGATGTGCTGTCTCCCTTCTGTCATTAACACAGTGGAGACATTCATTGCAGCCAGAGAGAATCCTTCAATACGGACACAACAGAACTGTGAGGATTATTTTATTTTATTTTATTTTTTTGCCATAACGCTTCCTGTCTTGGACGGACACATAGCTCATCCAATAGAATGCACTCGCTAATGTCGTAAGCAGGTTAGATAAAAAGGCAGATGATGTAGTTTTTGTTAACGTTAAAATGATCAATTTACATGTGCCTGATTTTAGCAGAACAAACGGTTGAGTTTCAGTGAAGACAATCAGCACAAGCCTTGGAAAGATTAGATTTTGGTTGAGCAGTAGTTTCTTGCTAGGTTGACTGTCTCCAAGCTAAAGCTGATTCTGCTATTGCCGATATATTTCGGCACAGAAGCAGCAGTTGCTAGTGGACAAATGGGATGGTGCAGGGCTTGTGCACAATCACACCATATTTTTAAAGTCCCTCATCATCCCTCATTTCCTCTAACTGCCATTTGTGTTCCTCCTCCCCTCATGTCAAATCCATCTCTTATCTGCTCTAGTCACTAGAGACAACCTGTATGACTGTCATCACCATAATATAATAACATGGGGTCACTCTCTGTCTTGACCAGTGTGGTTTGTAGCTGTCCGTGATCCATCTAGTCATAATTACTGTGTTATGTGTCGCATTTTAACATCAGTAAATCATTGCCACATTCATGTCTTCTGATGTGA